TGGTTTGTCTGCCTTCGTCAGGATGTATAAGCTTGCCATCGTGGTATCAATGACTTTCGCGGCCAGTGCTTCGCTTTTCGTGAGGGCACCTGTCTTCATCAACCATCTTTTTATTTTTTATCCAGGTTAGTGCTGTATTGCGTCTTATCTGAGAAGATCGTTCAGCGCCCTTTGTCAGCGCGTGGGATGACAATATTCTTAGTTTTTAATATTCGCAGGCTTTGCGCATATTCGGTCTGGGAAATCGACCGCTACGGTTTGTACCGGAGGAATAAAAAGAATTTATGTTGCCGCATGGCATGTCTACACTGTTCAGCTGCCTCGCGCTTCTGGAGCACTGATTGAATGATACGAGGAATCCTTCTACCTGCGAATCCCTCATGTCGAACTTAGTATTAAAAACTAAACCCGCTAGGCACTGTTGCATGAGATGATATGATGGCAGGTTTTCAACCAGGACCTCATTAAAGGAGAGCTCTTTTCGCGGGCTTATTTTCCTTAATTTGTCGAGCAGCTGGTTAGCATGTAACTTTCCATAAGATCGTTCTGCGTTGTTGATTGCTGCTTTCATGGTTCCAGGCTCTTGAGCGGTTAAATTCGAAGACAAATCAACTAACCCGTGCTTAGCCAAGTTGAACTTCATTTTTTTCTGTATCCTCCCAAAACTTGAACCACAGTTGGAATTTCAGCACCCTTCCCTTCACCTCCGGCATATGTCGTTACACGATTCTTGACATTCCTCCATGGGCATCCAACTATCGATGTAACACCTGTGTCCCCAAGTGGTCTTGTGCGACAATCTCAATTGGTACATTTTAATTTCAGTTGAGGAAAGGTTGGTGTAAACAGTTCAAAAATGCACAAGTATAACCTGAGTTTTTGGAGTAAATTCCTTTTGCGTTCATAATCTCCCGAAAGAGAGGAAGAAGAAGAGAGTGCGATTTCGTGGATTAAACTATATCTCTAATGACCGTTCGAAAACTATGTCACTCCCAGTGTCTGATCGAAGGAGTAAATTTCTCACGACGTCAATGTGAATACTATTCTGTCCACGGGGACAACCTCTGTTCCTCTTCGTCTCCACTAGGTGATTAAAAACGTAAAAAGCTATCTGGGCCACAAATATTTACGCATATCGACACAATTCAGAATATATTATTGGCGCCTAGCGGCCGCAAGCGGAATTCGAGAGAGAGCCCAAGGCACAATGAGATGAGTGTGTTCCGCAACTGATCGGTGAGTGCCTATTTACCATTATGGCAGGTGGCGAGGAACTGATGAACTTCGGTCCGATAAAGTGCTTATGACACTTTCGGCAAACCCCAGTGGTAACCTACCTGCGCAATGTGTGAGTGCGCATGTTTGTGTTCCTGGTCCCATTTGGTGATCAGAGTTATGCTCGACTGAATGAAGGTAAATAAGTCTGAAACTGTTTCGTATTAAGTTACCCCGAAACGTTGCCATCCCTATCTATTATTATCGCTTGGCCGACTTCGGCCTGGCAGATTTTTATCTGGTCTTGAACCTTATAAACCTCCTGAAGATTGTTTAAAACTGGAAGCCAATTGCAGCGGAGTGTGCTTATTCCTGAGTGACCATTCAGAATACGTTCGGGCGCGAAGCACTTAACGCAGCACGTCACTGGGGAATAATTTTCTGTAGAAAAGGTTCAGCGTACACTCTACTGAGGTTCCTACGTAAATGCCTAGAGTTAAACACTTTGCCGAGCTGCCTCTAGCATGCATTTCCAGTCAAAACCGAGCTAGGTAGACGAACGGTACTGTAAAACAGCTACAAATGATTAAGGTCCTCATTCAAGAT